GGTTGTGCAACGCAAGCGGTGATACTTTGCATGCCTGGATGTTAAGTTCTTACGTGACAAAGAAGACATTAACATGTGAATGTAGCTTGTGAAGGTGTCTATTTTGTGAATATGTTCAGAAACTTTTAGTTGTGTGTGCTAATGAATGATGGCTAGAAGATGGTGTGTCCTTATTTTTTTGCTGGTTAGAGCATCTTCAAGAGATTAGCTAAATCGTTTTCAACAGACTCTCTAAATAAAAAAGGACATTCCCAAGGGGCAGGTCAAAGAGAGCTCCGCTCATGCGAGGTCTCTAAGGGGAAGGTGTAAATGGCAAGCTTTACCTTTCTTTGGTGTCTGGATGCAATGCGAGAGAGATCATGACTCGAACCGGGACCTTCCGGTCACAAAGTGTAAGACTCTGGATTTGCACCAGGCCCGCCCTTCACAACAGACTCTCTAAATGATTCTCCAAATTTAATAGATCTACGGTCCAGTTTAGTTGCAAAAAATTTTGCAAAATTTTTCAAGATTCTCCGTCACATCGAATCTTTGGACGCATGCATGAAGCATTAAATATAAATAAAAAATAAAACTAATTATACAGTTTAGACGAAATCCACGAGATGAATCTTTTAAGCATAATTAGACTATGATTGGACACTATTTGCCAAATAACAACGAAAACCGCTACAGTAGCATTTCGTCAAATTTTTTGGCATCTAAACAAGGCCTACGTCCCACCTCATTCACTCTCTACTTTTGGATAGGCTACCTCACTAGCCATCTAGCCTCTTAGTCTAGTATTTTTTTCTCAAATCTATTTTAAAAAGTAGCTAAATAAAAAAATTTGGATAGTTTTATTTTTGCTAATCTTTTGGAGACGCTCGTCATGAGGAATGAACAGCCGGCTGTTGATTTTGTATTGCCTGGTTGCTGATTTTGTAAAGGTTGGAAGCTGATAATATATGTTATTGCTCTAGTGGTACCGTTTCACTGAACAGAAAGCTTCAAGCTTCTTCTGTGCTTGTGACAATTGTTTAAACATATGGACTTTGTTGATTCTGAAATTTGATAGCTATTGGGGTGTTTTCATTGACATGTGGCTGCAATATATGATTACCATAACTTTTTGTCTAACATTTGTAGCAACAAACTAAACAGCAGTGACATTGATTTTGCCACAACTTAGGTATCAACCAAATACTATAAATTTGCCTGAGAATGTGGCTAGCCACAAGTGTGGCTTGTACCTACGCCATGTTTGTTTAGGCTGGTTTGACTTATAAGTCATGGCTGAAAGTATTGTTGGCTGGTTTAATGTGAGAGAAAAATAATGTTCGTTGGCTAATAAACCATAACTTATAAGCTTAAGTGTGGCTAGCTGTGGCCAGCATTCAAACATCCCCAGTACTCGTACACGGTTGCACGCCAATGTACCGTAGTCACTGATGCCACCGCACAGCCCGGACTGGTGGCCACAAGGAAAGCCAGTGAAACACGAGAGTATGAAAACAACCAACAGGGCGCACGCTGGCACCCTGCAGCGGCACACTGGACTCCCCGCTCTGTGAGCAGCAGTATTTTTCTACGAACGACAGTCATCCTGTTCGCTGATGCTGAAATTTAGCTAATATTGATGCTTATGTTGAAATGTTGTGGAAGAAAAACACTATTTCATAACTAAAAAGTAATTTTGAATAAACTCAAATGAGCAGAGTAAATACTTTTCTCTCACAATATTTTATCATAAGTATTATAACTGAATTTCAGCGAAACAAACGGGGGGCTCATGCATGCACCGCACGTTCTCTCTCGTTGCCTGCTCTGAATTCACTTCTTTACAGCTACCGCCCCGCCTACCGATGGGCAGGTGAGGTGATTGCCTACGGGGAACACATGCATCGTTTGGGCGCTCTCAAGTCTCAACACGCGGTTTCTATAGAATTAAATTAAACGATGTGCCATCTAATAAAAATATCTGCTGTGGCAGCATCATCGGTGAATCAAGAGAGCAAACGATGAGAAAACAGTTTCTCGCATGAGAAACAATGTCGGCTCTTGCTTCAAAGCTCGAAGGAACTGTCGCTTTTGCGTTGGGATCGAGCTGCAGTTTCCATCGGACCCGCGTAGCGGCGGAAACAGCGATTTTGATTTAGCGGCGGATAAATATGATCATAATTTTTAGTATGATAAAATATATATAATTATATGTTTTAACAACTTTTTAAATATGTTTACACTATTTATTACTAAAATCATAATATTTTAATAAAGATAAGTGAAAATTGATATTTTTTGCTGTAAATTCAAACATTTATATAGGTATTAAAGAAAATCTACTGTAGCCATGCCTGTGTAGGCAGTCACGAGAAAGATCGACTCCCATCGTATCGCATCCGCTCCTTCCAGTTCCAGCTCCAGCTCCTCCTGCCACAGCAGACAGTCAGCCGCAGCGCGCCATGTTTCTCGGCTTGCTACTGTAAGCACAGGCTCGCTCAGTCGCTCTCATCCCACAAGCCAGACTGTGGGGCCGTGTGGCTGTGGCTGTGGCTGTGGCTGACGCCAGGAGCCCAGAGCCCAGGACACATCATCCCGTGCATTGCATTGTCGCCATGTCGTGAACCTTCTCCATACACTGTATGTGTGTGTTTTGGCGAAAAAGAAATGGTTAACAAAACATGTCTACAGTACACCCGTTCTTCGGTAGTAGTAGTTTCAGGCTTGATTACGTGAAACAGATGTTGCAGCGAGTCCTCAGTGTCAGTCAATATACTCCGCGAATCGGTCATTCCACTCGGCCCTTTGCCTTGATTCGGCCCATGCCAGGCGGCTTCTTTCGGCCCACCGTCTAGACCATGAGATTCAGTCTGCCAGGCTCGCTCATCCCACTACTCAGGCGCCGACTAGCAAGTGTAACGTCTCCGAGAGCCTGTGTAAATCTCCGTATCTAAATCATCGTTCACAGAGTCGCTGGCATATAAATCGTTTTCTATATATTTTTATTCTCCAATAATTTTTTTATATCTCATGCACACTCTAAAGATTTATTCTTATTTTTTATTTTTGACTAACGAAAAATCTAAAATAGAAGATGAATATATTTAGATAACTATTTAAATCTTTATTTCTAATATTTAGCAAGGACATAGAGAATCTCTCGAAGATGCTCTAAGCTTCTCTGCATGTGTGTTGGTGGAAAAGAGTGGTTCACACGAAAAGTTTACACACGTTCCGTAGCCAGTGACGAGGGACAAAATAAAATTAAGATATGACAAAATCCATTACGTCGTCAACACCACGACTTCACTGGCGAATGGCACAAACCCACCACGGCCGCCTGTGGAACTTTTCGTGTGAACCACTCTTTTAATTATATAAGCGTTAGGCTAAGTTAATTATAAGTAGAATTATACAATTCTACTGGCAGTAGGTAAGATCAACCGTTAGTAAAAATACATTTTCATTGACGGTTCTATACTATCGGCCTACAAACTACTTTGTACTGACGTCTGTATTTTGTGTGCCATCAGTGAAAAAAAAAACAAATTGTCCCTAAAATCCATTTTTGTACTAGTGACACCCCTAGAGTTTGTGCTGATTTCGCCAGTAAATGAACGTCACCCCGCACACCCGTCTCTTTTGCTATGCATTGCCCCAATCCCCACGTTGTTTATCCCAATCCCCACGTTGTTTTTACAAATGCACTGATCATGCAAGTTACCAGATCCATAGACCATCTCGATCGCTCGCACCCACAGGTTAGAAATATCTTGCAAGGTTGAAACACGGCAGTTATGAACTCATTTTTTTTATTATTATTCAGTTATGAACTGATGATTTATTATGTATACAGTGATACAATTAACGGCATGAATTACTACCACGTAGCTGGCTACAAAATAACTTATTCTGTAGCCACTTTGAGTTACGATAATTACTATGTTAATTTATGAAATTATAGTAACTCCTTGCTAAGTGGTTTACTGTAACGTTATGATAAATATCCCCACGTGTTATAGTAACACAATTATCGTAAATATGTATTAACGTTATCGTAAATTAGTATATAAAATTATCGTAAATGGTGGTGGCTACGGAATAACTTATCTTGTAGCTGGCTATTGAATATATTCACACACACACACCGCGCAAGAATATGATTCGGCTGCTTCTCCGTATCAATGCCGGATTGATCCAGAAACGAAAGAATATCCCCCAAATTTCATTGCAGCTTCCTCTATAGTGCAGCCCCCTACCACAACATCCTGATTAGCGCAGTCCGTTGCTCTTCTTGGTCGCTGGAGAGGCCCCAATCCTCCATCAGAAGTGGCTGCTGCAGAGGCCCCAAACATCCACGCCGAGAAGCTGCCTGCTCGTTTCTCTGCTGTCTGCTGGGAAGCTGCCTGCTTGTCTCTACTCCGCAGATCCACATCAGGCTAGCAGAGAGGCTACGGAGGTGATTTATCTTATTCATGTGTCAATTTTACACTGTACATACTTGGTTCACTGATGCCCACTGCAACTTTTGTTTCCGTGAACAATTGTTTATTTTCCTTTTCTGTTTGCCTTCGCAGTCTCTATTTACCGATGCACATTGTTGGTCCGAGTAGGCATCTCAAACCGAGCTGCATAAGTTTACATGATTCTTGTGATTTTAATTAGTAATTGATGTTCCTGCTTTCAACCGAAATTGTGCGGATCATTCTAGCTAGTTTAAGTAGTAATTGATGTTCCTGTTTATGGTAAATTTGATCATTCTAACTAAATTTTACCGTCAATTTTAGTACCTATATTCACTATCCACATGTCTCGTAAATATACTGTAAGTTCTCGTAACCATTCTCAGTGCAAAATATTTCTCGTAAATATTACTGTAAGTTCTCGGAACTATTCTTAGTGCAAAATCTTATAAAAAATTCTCAGTACAAATTATTGTAAATATTTATTACTGCAACGTATTCATACTATTGTCGTAAATATGCTTACCACATGACTTACTGTTGATTCTTTCATAGGAAATGAGGCCTCCTAAACTTGTTCAGGGGAGATTGAAATCATTCACCCTGCACACCACACAGGAGGATTTCAACATTGATATAAGTGACGTCACTGGTGTATCTCAGACACTACCACCTCAACCAGTTCATCAGCAGCCACCACATTGTCCAGGACCATCGGCACGCCCTCGTTCAGAGGAGGACGATGATGATGACGACTTCATGCAACCCCCAACTAGGCATCCGGTAACGAACAATAATCAACGCCGTACTACAAATGTTGTTGTCAATGCACGCAGAGATGAAAAACTGCAGAAGAAAAATGCCCCTTGCACGGATCCACCTATGAAGGTATACTCTTGCGACTAAATTATTAATTTTTGTTTGTTCTGTGTACTATATTTTTTTGCCATTTTGTTCATATGGATGTACTTTTTCCCAAATAGTATTCCATTACATTCTTACCATAATGGTTCCTTCTTTTCACTCTTTCTTATTAATTAGCACTTATTTTGAACAATTACACAAGTCATATGTCTCCTTTCTACAGCCTAAACAGCAAAAGGTTACCAAATATCTTCATGCACCAACTATTCGATGTGCACCTTCAATTTTCAACTCATTTATTGATCTCCTCACCATGAGCCAGCGTACCAAAATCAATAATATGAATTTTGGTGGCCTCCTCCAGATCCGAACAGACAAGCTAGTCAGCAGATAAATGTTGAAGTATTTGTATGACAGGCTAGACCCTGATACTATGGTATTGGTTCTTGGTAAAGATAGGGTTATACATATCAACCATTTTGCTGTTAAGCAAGCGTTTGGCATTTCAGACAGTGCGCGAAGAATTATCTCTACACACAAACCAGGAAGCATGCAAGGCCTGTCTGCTTTTAAGGATTTTATTGGTTTACAAGAAGATGAGGATGTGCACATCAAGTATCTGCAAGAGATCTAGGAGGCTGACATTGAGTTAGACTCTAGGATGCTTGACGACGACATGTGCATTAAAATTTTCTTCATGATCGCTTCTAACAAGCTGTTGTTTCCTTCCTCGGACAACAACATCAGGGCGAAAGATGTTTATTTGGCTAGGAATTTGTCTCGACTACCCACTATGAACTGGTGCAAGGCTGTTACTGATGAAATCCGAGATGCTGCACGCATGTGGCGACTTGATAGAACAACAAAAGTTTTGCCTTCAATTACAGGATGCGCGATTTTTCTGTTGGTCAGTTTCCCATTTATCATACATAATATGCCTTCAAATATTATGATAGCTGATTAGGTACCCACATGTATTATAGTAAACTTATTCTCCCATATTTCCATTTTTCTCGGTGTAGATAGTTTATTTGGATAACTTACGCTGCAACCACCAGATCAATCACAAGGATATTCCCCATGCCAAGTACTTTAATCAAGATTTGATTAAATAAATAATTGCTGCTGACAAGACAAAGGACGACCAAGGAAAGGTCACATTTGGACGATTACCGGTGAGACACAGTAACTATTGTCCCCCATTTTTAAACGCAGTCCTCTGTGTCAATGCCTATTTACTGCCACTTACCTATTTCCATTTTGTGTGTGCAGCTTAGGGACATCAATGATACGGTTTACTACATGCCTCATCATTCTATTCCAGAAAAGCCAGCAAACATACAACCTGTGACTACTATACAGTTCCCTAGCATTCTTTCAGAACTAGGTGGAGTAGTAAATGTGACGGTTGCTAAGCCAAAGAGGAAGCTGTTAGTGCAAGCTTTGGCAGAATTTGACATCAAATCAAAAAAGGCAACAACTTTTTTAAACAGGGGACAACTAATGCTACAAGCTTCACATGACCAGCTCCTTGCAAAGGTGCGGTCAATTTTGGAGAACCAGAGTTGTGAGAATAACAGCATAGATCACCAGGCTCAACCAACCGCTCCTAGTGCAGGTCCACAGATCTACCCACTCATCGACTCTTTTGTTCAAAAAAAAAAAGTTAATCGACCCTATTTATTGTTTCATGTATGAAGCCGATGCCAACGATCTTGACATGCATGATATGATATCCATAACGGAGATCGAACATGCGAGGTGCCAAATCAGTGCGAAGGTAGGCGAAACATGTAACCGTTGCTAAGGTGCCAAATGAAACATGCAACTGCAGTTATGTCTCCAAGGTGTCACTAACCAACACATATACACAGGAGGCTCATGTGGCAATGAAATCAGAGAAGGCAGTGGCACCACAGCCCATGATCGAATGCTGAGTGCTAATTGTATTGGTAAATGCGGTTTGATCTCTAGATCCTCATGAAACATGCAAGTATGCAGTTATGTCTCCACTAATTTACATGTGATTTTTTTTGTTTCAGGATATGTCACTAACCAACACATACACCGGGAGGCTCATGTGCCTTAAATTTGTTTGATCAAATATCATCATAATACTTACTTATATCAGCCCCAACGTCAATGTTCATGGAGGAACCTCATCCCCGGATTCTCTAGCTGACCTCATTAGTGCATCTCATATATACCTATTGCCCACCCACAAACCACAACAACCGACACGATGACATGCCTGTTGTGATTACACAATCCAAATCAGCTTCCTGATGAGGTCCTTAACTTTTATTGAATTGGATCATGAACACTCACCGGTTTGATCTCTAGTTACCATATGTCCAATCACATTAAGATTGTTCATTCCTCATTTATTGTATTTTTATATAGCTATACTATTTACTATACAACTTTCTTAGTCACGATCCAATGCAATAAACATGTGAGGAAGAAGTTTCTCCCTAGTTTTTGTATATGCAGGTTCACACGGATGTGACAATTGGTGATGTTGTTCCTCAATTGGAATCAAATGGATGTTTTGCATTCAAGGATAAATAGATGCACCGAGAAGATCATCATCATCCTGGCCGCCATGGATGAACATGATGAGTCCCCGGCCGGCGATGTGAATGTGTTTTCTTAAATTTGTTTGATCAAATATCATCATAATACTTAGTAGTAAATGCACCCACGCTCATCAGTTATGCGTGCATGCACTAGTGCAGACTTCATGCGACGGAATTCTCTGACAAATACGATCAATGTTCATGGAGGAACCTCATCCCATTTAGGTTCCGGATTCTCTACCGGTAGTTGACCTCATTAGTGCATAGACTGGATGGAATTACGGGAACCAACGAGCGCGCGCTTATATCGCTGCCGGTGGATTGCTCACCCCACAAAACTACAACTATACACGCGACACTGATGATTATTTCAGTTATGAAGATGATTTATTATGTATGTGATACAATTTGCATCGAATCAAATGCCAACATCATACTACTACGATGAGGTGCCTTCACTTCCACTAGGCGACATTATTTCTTCATTGCCCCCCATTTTATTGTAATTTTATTCCGATCCGGCCGGCACCTTGCTTACTATAGATACAATTTTACTATTTGTGGATGAGACATGGAAGACCATTCTCTGATCCATGACCATGAGGATGCAGGTCATACCTAGCTGATCCCACCATTCCCCATTGATGAACCCCTGCTCAGCTGCTTCGCGTGGGAAACCTCGGTGCAGTGGCGTGCGGCGTAGCACCACCCACAATCACCACAACAACCTGACACGCTCGTGACAACCCGGTGAGCCCAGCCGCGTCGATGTAAGCGAGATGGTGGGGGTGCTTCATCTGAACGGAGGAGGATGCTGCCAACATCAGAGTCTTCCTAATGAGGTGCCTTAACACACGTTCATTCCCCATTTATTGTATATTTTATCAAGATTGTTTGGCTTACTACAATTTCTTAATCTGTTTGGGGATGAGCACCTGCAGTTCTGAGTTTGGGACCGGTGTTGATAGCACCATTGATGATGAGCCATCATCTACTAAACTCCAGCGCCTGCTCTTTCATCCAAAACCACAGCCATGCCGTCACGGAGAAGCTTACAGGGGACGCCCATCCAAGTATGTGTCGCCATTTAAAGGCGATCCAATGCGCCAGCAAAGGATCGTCATCACGATCGGCGGGAAGGAGCAGAAGTACCAATGTCAAAGGCACTAGCTGTGAGGAAGAAGTTTCTCCCCTAGTCTCAAGAGTGTTTAAAGTATGCTGCGTGCAAACGCTGCTGCCGCATCGTCAATCTACGCGCCGCCCTCGCCAACACCAAGAAAGGTACATCCCTTAAATTTTGTATCATCCTACAATATTTCACCGGTCTTGAGACGATACTACCTTTTTCCCCATACCAGTTGAGGAGTTTTCATTACTATGAGAGACAGTATGGTTCATAGAATTCACGCGGAGGCAATGAAATATTAGATTCAGCCGCCTGGCCGACAACCCAACTTCTGCACCGACTCTCTCGCGAAGATGATGATCGCCTTTGTGCGGTATGCTACAAAAAGGGGCACTTGAAAAATGGTTTGATGAAGACTACGTGCGGATCCGAAGTTGGTTGTGCCATGAACGATTGACACAAACGATCGTAAATTTTCAGTGATCTTGAGAACAATATTTTTCTGATGATCAAACACAACCAGTGGATCAGGTATGGATATTAGTCACATTTCTTCACGAACCCATCGTAATAATCTTAAAAATGTTCTTCGAACCCAACACAAAACCGATAACAGCCGATTTTTTTGCTATTAAGGATCAAAGCCACTGAAGCAAACCATCCTTGAGTGTCACTGCTCTTCCTGGCCGCCATGGATGAACATGGCCGATGGAACTGATGAGTCCCCGGCCGGCGATGTTAGGCGACTCACATATGAATCTAGAATCTGAACGGGTGCATTGGAAGAGTGCAATGGATGTTGGCTACGTACATGCAAGCGTTCAACGCCAATAATCAAGCACTAGTGCCGAAAAGTAGTAAATGCACCCACGCTCATCAGTTACCTGCGTGCATGCACTAGTGCTATGAGCGCTACTCACGCTAGGACTTCATGCGACGGAATTCTCTGACAAATACGATAAACCAGCTGCCTTGACCGCACATAAATGAGCCATCATCAACGGGAAGTACCCGTCTCTCCCAGCAGCTCCGGTCATTTAGGTTCCGGTAATTCTCTGTACCGGTAGTTAAAGCTCCTAGCAGGTACGGTCAATAATTACTAGACTGGATGGAATTACGGGAACCAACGAGCGCGCGCTTGGATAGGCATCGCTGCCGGTGGATGGTGCGGTCGGATTGACCTGGCTACAAAATAAGGTAGCTACTGAATATACTCTCCCTATACACGGCAGTTATGAACTGATTTTTTTATTATTATTTCAGTTATGAACTGATGATTTATTATGTATACAGTGATACAATTAACGGCATGCATCGAATCAAATGCCACGACAATGCCTACATACATACATACATATATGGATTCTTCAATTCACTTCCACTAGGCGAGCATTATTTCTCGGCGATCACATTTGCCGCCCCATTATTCCTCGCATATTTCACCTCCGATCCGGCCGGCACCTTCACTGATACTATCGAGATCCAAAGATACCTCAGACGCCGCTCGGCTAGGTTCTCCATTATTCTCAGTAGACGTCCCCGACAGTGGAAGACCATCCTCTGATCCATGACCATGAGGATGCAGGTCATACCTAGCGGCGTACTCCACCAGCATCCCCATTGCAGTCACCAGTTCGCCACCGCTGCTCAGCTGCTTCGCGTGGGAAACCTCGGTGCAGTGGCGTGCGGCGTAGCACAGCATCTCGATCCACACTCCGGCGATCATTTCCAGCACGTCAGGTATACCTGAGCGCTCGCTAAGGAGCAACCCGGTGAGCCCAGCCGCGTCGATGTAAGCGAGATCGTGGGGGTTCTTATCTTCCTCTTCCTTCATCTGAACGGAGAAGGATGCTGCTGGACTAGCACGATCGTCGTCGTCGTTGTCAGAGTCGTCGTCCGATCTGTCTCTGTACTCGCGGTAAAGCAATCTAGCTAGGTTTTCCCTTGGTGTCAGCGTCGGGTCCATCCCGTCCTTGTCAGCTGAGTGTTGTTGCCAGAGCGTGACCAAACCGTCACAGTTGTTGTCATACCGGCTGTTCCGAACCGGGCCCGGAAGCATGTGGGGCTGGACGACGAAGAGGAAGAGCATGTAGTCGGAGAGCTCCTTGATGGCTTTGGCTAGGCGATGGTGATCCTCCGCGGCTGGCTCAGGCTGGCGGCGGCAGCAGAGGTACACGTCGGTGGCGACATGCCAGATGAGGATGCTCTGGTCGAAGTCGGGTCGTTAACGCTCCAGCTGATCTCATCGTATAATCTGCGACTACCGCTTGCCCCCGGCGGGTAAGTTATTTGCTGAAGCGTCCACCAGCCCCGTGCGTCCCTCATGGTATCTCTTCCAGCAGGAGGTCCCTGAAGCTGTCCGAAATGCTGACGGTGCTCGAGTAATGGAGCTTGTCCCACCACTTCTCCAGCCCCACTTTCTTGTCTACCCTGCTCCTTAACTCGGTCCTCTGTCACGAGTGCAGAAATCCAGCAGGTTGTACTGCCCAACCGACTCCAGCCACCTTCGGCTCCTCGCTGCCCGGACAAGCCGGCGAAGGCACCGGACGGCGCCATGGATCCGGTCCCATCTCTGAGCGTGCAAGAAGGCGCATGCCCAGGAAGACCCTAGTACCCTGACTATCGACGTGATCTCGAGGACAAAGGCCCTGGCCAGGAGAATGTAAGTGACGATGACATCGAGTCTGCTGTAAAGTGTAACCACCATGGCTGCTCCTGTTCAGCTGGAACAGCAAGAACGAGGCCAAAGTGGCTGCCGGTGAGATCAGACGGATGCACATGCCATACCATGTGTAGAGGACCGCTGCCTTGGTGTACAGGATGTCGTACATCAAGGACAGCTGCATCTCAATCAGCTCGTACATGTACTTGCCGCCATTAAACTGTATGCCATTGTTAATAGCTTCGAGTTCTGCTCCCGACGTGATCAGATCGTCGGTGAAGAGGCTCTTGCAGGCATTGAACATGTAGTGAGCACCCAGCACCAGCAGAACCTCCTCCGAATCCAGCTCCGTTGTTCCAACCCGTCCATCGTACGGCTGGCGCCGGTCGCTGTCATCCGGAGTGCCCGAGTAAATACACTCGGCAAATATAAAAATACTCGGCAAATTTGACGTTTATGGTAGTGCATGTTTATCTCAATTCCCACGTTTTTTTACAAATACACTGATCATGAAATTAGTCACAACTCACAAGATCCGTAGACCATCTCGATCGCTCACACAGTCACACCCACAGGTTAGAAATCTTGCATGGTTGAAACACGAGTACACGACCTATATAGTGATACAGCGGCATGCATCGAATCAAATGTCACGACACTGCCTACCTATATATGGATTCTTCAGTTCACTTCCACGAGGCGAGCATTGCTACCATATCCCTCGCCGATCACATTTGCCGCCCGTTCACTGATACTATCGAGATCGACAGATACCTCAGCCGCCGCTCCGCTAGGTTCTCCATTCTCCATAGATGTCCCCGACAGTGGATGACCATCCTCTGATCCATGACCATGAGGATGCAGGTCATACCTAGCGGTGTACTCCACCAGCATCCCCATTGCAGTCACCAGTTCGCCACCGCTGCTCAGCTGCTTCGCGTGGGAAACCTCGGTGCAGTGGCGTGCGGCGTAGCACAGCATCTCGATCCACACTCCGGCGATCATTTCCAGCACGTCAGGTATACCTGAGCGCTCGCTAAGGAGCAACCCGGTGAGCCCAGCCGCGTCGATGTAAGCGAGGCCGTGGGGGTTGTTATCATCCTCTTCCATCATCTGAACGGATAAGGATGCGGCTGGACTTGCACGATCGTCGTCGTCGTTGTCAGAGTCGTCGTCCGATCTGTCTCTGTACTCGCGGTAAAGCAATCTAGCTAGGTTTTCCCTTGGTGTCAGCGTCGGGTCCATGCCGTCCTTGTCAGCTGAGTGTTGTTGCCAGAGCGTGACCAAACCGTCACAGTTGTTGTCGTACCGGCTGCTCCGAACCGAGCCCGGAAGCATGTGGGGCTGGACGACGAAGAGGAAGAGCATGTAGTCGGAGAGCTCCTTGACGGCTTTGGCTAGGCGATGGCGATCCTCCGCGGCTGGCTCAGGCTGGCGGTGGCAGCAGAGGTAGACGTCGGTGGCGACATGCCAGATGAGGATGCTCTGGTCGAAGTCGGTGTCATTAACGCTCCAGCTGATCTCATCGTATAATCTGCGACCACCGCTTGCCCCCGGCGGGTAAGTTATTTGCTGAAGCGTCCACCGGCCCCGCGCGTCCCTCATGTCCCCTAGCTGCCTTCTTGGTATCTCTTCCAGCAGGAGGTCCCTGAAGCTGTCCGAAATGCTGACGGTGCTCGAGTAATGGAACTTGTCCCACCACTTCTCCAGCCCCACTTTCTTGGCGATCCTGCTCCTTAGCTCGGTCCTGTCACGAGTGCAGAAATCCAGCAGGTTGTACTGCCCAACCGAGTCCAGCCACCTTCGGCTCCTCGCTGCCCGGACAAGCCGGCGAAGGCACCGGACGGCGCCATGGACCCGGTCCCACCTCCTAGCGTGCAAGAAGGCGCATGCCCAGGAAGACCCTAGTACCCTGACCAACGACGTGATCTCCAAGACAAAGGCCCCGGCCAGGAGAATGTAAGTGACGATGACATCGACTCTGCTGTAAGTGTAACCACCATGACTGCTGCTGCTGCTGTTCAGCTGGAACAGCAAGAACGAGGCCAAAGTGGCTGCCGGTGAGATCAGACGGATGCAGAAACCATACCATGTGTAGATGACTGCTGCCTTGGTGTACAGGATGTCGTACATCAAGGATAGCTGCATCTCAATCAGCTCGTACATGTAGTTGCCGCCATTGAACTGTATGCCTTGTTAATAGCTTCGAGCTCTGCTCCGGACGTGATCAGATCGTCGGTGAAGAGGCTCTTGCAGGCATTGAACATGTAGTGAGCGCCCAGCAGAACGTCCTCCGAATCCAGCTCCGTTGTTCCAACCCGCCCATCGTACGGCTGGCGCCGGTCGCTGTCATCCTGCAGATCAAGAGCGCCTCTGATGCTGTCTATATTAGCACGTTTCAGCGCCCATGTCCTCTCCCCGTACTTGAGAAGGCCAGTAACGAACATCAGCAGGGAGGGGGTGACCAAGGTCCTCTGGTTAGCAACAAACTGGTACAGGACATAGGCTGCCCCCATGACCTGCACCGCAAGGTTCAGCAGATGGCGCAGCCAGAGCTGGTTATCCTCGAAGGCGTAGGCTGTGATGGTGTCCGGGCCACCGAGGTGCAGGAGCAGCAAGGGCGCCCAGAACGCGACGAGCTGCTTCTCGCTTGATCTGGCGCGGAGGGAGAGGTGGCCAAGAGTGTAGATAGCCGTGGAGTCAGCCATGAGGTAGGCCAACCAGAGGTGGACCGTCAGCAGAGCGGAGCCTTTGCGCCGGCGGATCCTTGCGAAGCCCAGGAGGATCAGTTGCAGTGTGAAGCTAAAGAGCACCAGTACTTGGATCTCCCATTTCTTCCAGATGTCTATTAGAGCTCCTCCATCCATTGTTCCTTAGCTGAAAATGCAAACATGAAGAATTATAGTACAAAGCAAATGCAAACAAACTGGCTGTAAAAATGGGTCCAAGTAAATAAACTAGTTGTAGTGTCATCAGATTGTTTTGTGCGCAATGGCGGCTAAAATATAGGAGCAGAGAATTCACCAAAAAACATAGTAGTAGAGAGCACATGAATTTTGTCAGGGTCATTGTTTGGGCTGGGCTGATTCTGCTGGTGGTATTTCGATTGATTTCGACTGATTCAATGTGTTTCTGTGAGAGAGAATAAGCCAAAATAAGCCTAAACCGGCTGAAAAGTAGATGAGCAGGTGATGCTTCCCATTCCGGGTATGGGATTTGTTTGCGTCGATCCTACACGAGCGAGCCAAGAAAATGTGGACTTAATTTCCCGTGATATACCTATGGACATTTTCGTTTTTCCTACATACGGAGGAGCATTCCTTCAAAGATGCTGACAGTAACCAATAATGCAATTTCTGAAGAATCTGAACCATCCTAGATTAATTCTATTTCTCCATTCCAACAATGTCGAAATCGAATTTGTAAGGCCTGGATGGGGTATTCAGGGTAGACAAACGCTGCAAACCTCTTTTTTCTCAAATTAAAGGCGGTAATTTGGAAGGGTAGCTAGTAGATTACCGTGGGTGGATTGGATGCCGGCCAGCGACGGCGAAAATAGGAAGAACTGAAGAAGACTAGACGACCCACCGATGGCCGGAGCCTGCTGCCGTAGCTGCCGGCCGGGCGCCGGAAGCTGCAACCACCGACGAGCCGGGAACTGCTTAGCTTCACTGGGACTTGTTGTCTAGGAAGATTCTGAGTTCGCAGAAGAAAAGGCTTTGTTTCGTTGGATCGGAATGCTCCTTAATTCGTCTGTTCCCCGGACTGAGGAAAAGGAACGACGACTTTTCTCGGCGACTTGACGGGAGTGATTGTTACTTAGGCGACTTCTCTCGGCGACTTCATTTCATCATATAAAATACAACTACTAGTTTTAGTGGTTAAACTATGAATGCCTTGACAAAACATAAGTTCTATTAAACTATCAACGCTTTGATAAAACATACGAAGAATAAGATTCTCTTTGGTACGATTTTCGTTGGATCACAGTTTTGCTACTACTGTGATCCAACAAAAGTACTCTTTTCAACTCTATTATATTATATATAAACCAGTGTTCCATTGGTTAAAAAAAAATCAACTTTTACAACTGTTCTAAGTCAAATCTTTTAAAGTTTTGTCGAATCTATAGAAACAAAAACCAATATTTATAACACAAAATTAGTATTATCAGATACATCATGAAATATGTTTTTGATACTCTTTCTAGAACAGATAGAATGTCTAGGGACCTTCCTTAAGTAAGTATTTGTATTATTGTCATCCGCTCTCCAACTCTGCTTAGAGGCAAGTGAACCAACGTCCTCTTCGCTAGAACTCTTATCAGATATGGTACAATATTTTTCTCTCACAACAAAACAACATCAGCCAGCTTATCAGCCGCAGAAACCATCAACCGAACAGGGTGCAAGTTTTTTTATAAGTAAATATTTTCATTCATTATACGCATACTACAAAAAATGGAGTGGGAGCACCCCCAATTTAAAATTTTGAGTAGACACTAGGTTAGGTAGAACTTAGACCATGTTTGGCAAGGCTACGTGTCTGTGGGAAGACGGAGCTGTAAATCATGGCTTCACCTTCATACACAAAAGGGGGCTCTGGCTCCTCTTCCAATTGCGCAAAAACGCTCCTCTGCCCATCGTCATTTTGTGGCTTCGCTGCCGGAGCTACCGTGGAGCCCAAGCTCGAGCGCCACCAAATCTTATGGGGTGTTTGGTTCTTTAGTCGCTCCTAAAATTCATGTCACATCGAATGTTTAGATAGTAATAAAGAGCATTAAATATAGATTAATTACAAAATCAATTACATAGATAGAGGCTAATTTGCGAAACGATTTTTTAAGCCTAATTAATCTGTCATTAGCACATGTTTACTGCAGCACCACGTTGTCAAATCATGGGCTAATTAGACTTAAAAGATTCATCTCGCAAATTAGTCGCAAGTTGTGTAATTAGTTTCGTAAGTAGTCTATATTTAATACTCCATACATGTGTCTAAATATTCGATGTGACGAGAATTTTAGAGGCCCGGTAGAAACCAAACACCCTTTAGCCTATCTTAGCCATGAATGTAGTCAAAATCTTCTATCGAGTATGACGAGCACGTTTGGGAGGGCTCTGCCCACGTGTGCTTTGGTGCCAAAGCCAGAGCCCCCAAACTGGAGCCCAATTTTGTGGCTTCACCTCCGTACGATGAAAAGGGCTCCGACTCCTCACATCGTTGACAAAAACAGCTCCTCCTCCTGTGCGCGTTTGGTGTGGCTCCGCTGGCCCTGTGCGCTGCGGGAGCCGCACCAAAGAGCCCTAGCTTGACTATGTCGTGTTTGAGTATATGGCATCATCAAACCATAAATAAAAAGTTTGGAGCGGCACGTCGTTAAGCCCATGGGCCGCACCATAAGGGCTCTCCAAAAGCTTGATGGTCATTCCCTTTGGCCCGTGTGTAGATTCGGCCCAATAGCTTCCAGTTCGGTAGGCTTCTTTTAGCCCACTACTCGCACTACCTGATTGTCATCCCGTGCATGGGTTGAGCTCTTTTCTTGATCTTTTCACAGACACAAAGTACGAACACAGAAAAAACTAACGGTACCTCCTCCCAATCTCCCATCCATCCAAGAAAAGAAACAAATTCAGTCAGAGCCAGACTTTCAGCCTAAGTACGTGAACAGGTTTGAGGAACAAAGCCGGGTTAGACAGACACAGAAACTCAACTCAAAGCTGCAGTCATCAGGTACCCTTTTTTGCTTGTGGCCGCTAACCAACCTATAGATTATTACGATCTGTCTTAGAACGCTGTGCGGATAGAAACGAGAGGGTGGATGATGATTCGCCTGCATGAGCCTGAATCATTGCATGATCCAAAGCCTCCAAGCATGCCCTTTTTCATCCTCTGTCATCGGAGAAGCTGCGCATTCAGGTTCAAGCTGCTACGTGCGAGCACTAAAGAGCAGACAGCCTTGTGCTAGTGCCATTAAGACGAGAACGGATAATGTTAGGTTCCAAGATACTACGTACGTAGACGCCGACTCCTTGGTAGTAGCTAGCACGAAAGTGCAAAGACTAAAGATGAAATGGACAGAGACTGAATCTCTGAATCCTTTGAGAGGAAAACAAAAATACTAAACGAAGAAACGCTTTGGTCTGTCATAATGAACTGATCTTTTGTTTGTTTTCTTTTCTCTTTTGCATGCAAAAGGAAAAGAGAGTACTCGATAGTATATGGGAAGCTTCCTGGTCAAGCCCCCTGGCCTAGCTAGAGTGTCATGATCAGTCAGGACCAGCCACTGTCCGTTGCTACTGGCCGGGTTTGATCTTAGGCCAATGCCATCCATGATCCATGCTCGAGCTCCGAGACTGCAAGTGGGATGAATGGCAGGCAGTGCAGAACTGAATTGTGGAGCAAGGCAAGGAGGGGATTAAAAGTGGCGACGGTAATGATGGGTGGTTCCTTGTTCCTTTGTGGGGGCAAGGGCAAAAGGAAAAGCCGAGGCAACAATTGCTTTGCTCTTTGGGCGCCGGCCGATTGCTGGAGGCAAAGGGGCCTGCTGCTGCTGCGCGCCTGCGTGCATGCCTCGCTGAGGCTGTTCGGCTGCCATTATAAACCGGCTTATTATCAGTTATGGTATAGTATTTTTCTCTCCCAATAAATCAGCCGTACAAATCAGCACAAGCGGCTTATACACCAGCTGCTTGGTTGCCAGGGTTGCATCGCAACTGCAGTGCATGCGCACTGCAGAGTGCAGAAGCTGCTGAACCCATGCCTTGCTGCATGTTCGGATTCAGGCATTCAGCGGTCGCTTTTCTGGTAGGCTGGCCTCGGCCTGGTCCAACTCCGACTCGTCTCTGCTTCTCATCCCTCCCCGCATGAGACGAGATCGGAACAGTGCTCAGACGGCAGAGTAAGTGATTGGCTATCCTCTCCTTTATCACCATCAATCATCTCTTCACCAAGGTGGCAAGGTGCAGGTGCCAAGGGCTTAAGGCCAAAGTGGTACGGTAGCCAGCTCTGCGTTAATCTGGATAATAAAGAGGTAGCACAAAACCTCAATGCATTTGTGGAGTAGAGTGAGGCAGCCAGAATGCTCATCTTCAGAGTTGAGAATTGTTGCTCTGCAAATGCTCTGAACATGCATGTGCCGTCCCCCGGTGCTGGTGGACTGGTAGTAGCAGTTGAGTTGCAGGCTTGCAGTTGCAGCAGTGCCGATTCTGTTCTGCCACCATCTTGCACGTGCTGGCGAAAGGCGAGAGGGAGGAAGGGTGATGACCTGATGCCCGATGGGCGTGCCAGTGCGTTGAGAGTTGCGTGGTGTAAGGTCCGCTCGCTTGCCCGTCGGCAGTCGGCACATGCGGTGAACCGTACCGCCTGCTCTCCTCTCCTCTCATCTCATCTTTTACCCGCTTTATTTACAGCAACAGAGAACACCAAAGTACTACACAGCACAGAAGGATTAATCACACAAGCGCGCGCTAATTGAGTAATGGCATGCATGCATGGTTTGAGGAGAGGCACACAAATAATGGACCAATGATTAAGGTTAAAGCAATGTGCCTACTGCCTTATTCCTCTTCCACAAAAAAAAAAGAGGCGCAATATAATGGGGCATGATTCGTTTCAAAATAAATAATAATAATGGGGCATGATTAGTGTTTCCATCAGGACTAATCAACCAGATTCTGATAATGGACTAATGACACAAACCAGATCCTGATAATGGACTAATGACAAACCAGATTCTGATAATGCGAAACTAATATCCACTTCAAGAGCTGTCTTTTGGGCTTAGAATATCCTTACTGGGAATGCACATATACAACGTGCTTCAATTGCACTACTTTCATTTGTTGATCCCCCTTGCAAACAGATA